GTGAATAGCCCGAACATTCAGATCTTGCCTTGGGATTTTTTTTTCCATGTTCTTTTTCACAAAGGACTATTTAATTTATGTTGAACCGACATGTTTAGGATGTTGATTATGAAAATAGACTATAAGTTAAAGCATGATGAAAATTGATATACAAATTTTGGGCTTTGTGCTATATTTGTGTTACTAATAAGTAAATTGTGTTGCATCTTGGTATGACATGGTAGGAACTGATAGGATAACATGAGTTAAGCTAGAGCATGAACCAGATACATTGATAATTGATAGTGAAACAATGTGCCATGTGTGTGAGAGGTATTTATTTATTCGTTCAATATGTGCCAATCTAGAATTTACCCCGTTAATCCTACTAGGATAATTGAATTGTTAATTAGGAAAGGATCATACATCGTTGTTGAAATTAAGCCTAAAATCAATCAACCAAATGAAAATGCTATCTTCAATCCAAATTGTTGAGCCTTAAATAGACCATTCTTTTTGTCTACCCAATTCACTTCCCGTTCGTGAATGTTAATCTTTGTTTTGTCCATGGTCCCTCCTTGGACATCGTGCACCTCAACTTAGGCTAAAACCCTAAGTTAAGGATGACTACTGTAGAGGAAAACAAGAGATGAAAGGAGTATGAAAAGAACTATGTTATAAGAAAAGAGAAAAATAAGATGGTGTGGCATATAAAAAATGCTTGTAAAGATGAAGAAAATAGTGTAACGAGAAAGAGAAGCAAGTCAAAGCCACATCCAAGCTTTAATGAGAAATGAGGAGAAAAGAAAATAGAGGTGAAACAAGTATTGATTGTAAAGAGGAAGAGTAGCTAATGGAATGTCAAGGAGGGTATAAAAGTCACTTTAAATCTAAATATACCACACCTGACCCTGGGCCTATGTTATAAGCTAAAAAAAGGCTCATAGTGATGCTAATTTAATAGTTTGAGAGTCTAAGTAATGAATATAAAGGCAAGCCTATGGTATTGTGCATGTATTGTATTGAATTCGAATGTGCGAGTGAGTGTATACTGAGTCCAGTGGTTGAAATACATATTGATATTTGTGTGAAAAAGGGAATTTCTTTGGAGTGAGGACACAAGTTACATTATCAAAAAATCAATACCTTGGTGATTATTATCGATACATGTGAATATATCCATTGATATGTCTATATCATACATTGATCCGCATGTGTTAGCTTGTCATGGAATTAATGATTGCACTGTCTTGAATAATGAATCCGGTGGATAGATTGTTGAGAAAAGACCATGTGATTGCTGGAATTCTAGGTCTATTTTTGCATCATGTCGTTTTATGTTAGTAGTCTCCCTTGAGACAAACAACTATTTTAAGTTGATGGTGTTGATGTACTACATATTTTATGGTAGTTATGATGCTTTAAACTTGGAGTTTTGCATGGTTCTTAGGCCCTTGTTAGTAGGTTTGATGGGTTTTTACCTTTGTTTTGCAGGAAAATAGGTTTTTGACACATCAGAATAAAAATTCAGTGAAACAATAGCTTTTGGAGGTTAGACGATTTGACCTACGAGCCGTAGACTATTCTATGAGCCATAAGGATGAGTTATGGAAGGAAGTAGTGACTTTTTGAGCTAAGTGTTGGGCAGCGAGACTGGACTACGAGCCGTAGGAACTTCTATGAGCCGCAGGTTCAAGTCTTAGAAAAAATTAGAGATTTTAAGCTCTAGTACATGGACAACGAGTTGCCATGACGGACTGTGTAAAGTTCTCCGAGTCAAAGACCTTTTCCGTACAAAAGTCCAAAAGATTGAAATAGTAAGTTGTTTTGACGAAAGGTTCCCGCGAGCCGTAAACCTAACCGTAGACGCGACAATCAAAATCCCATTTTCCTATGTTTTATTAGCCTACTGTATTTAGAATTGGATGTTTATAAATAGTCTTTTATTATTTGTTTTTTTATGGTTAGACAATTAAAAACCTTATTTTTACTTTCTGAGAATTAATTTTGTGAAACACTTTTCCATTTTAATTCTTGAAATTGTCGGTTCATATTGCAATTTTTTGTTCATCAATTCAAGATTCTGCAATTTATCTACTCTAATTGTAAGTTCATGATTTATTTTAACAACATTAATAGGCATTGTGGTCACCTAAGCATGAGTAGGTAAATTCACAACTAGGATTGTGGGAACCACAAGGAATTAACAAAGTAGAACTAAAATTTGTAATTCTTGACTAGTGTGTATGCATGTATTGTTGATGTCTTAGCTTTAATTGCTTTTTAACGAGGGCCCGCATTAGAACTCGCCTTATTCCTACTTGCTTGACCAAGGGGGTAACGAATGAGAAAGAGATTAAACAACAGAGATTTGATGACTACAAACTTCATCTAATAGCTTGAACAACCAGTGATAGCTAATCTTGTGTCAAGTGAAAGAGTTATTAAAACATACACCCGTGGATCGATCAAAGTTGTATGGTGAAATTCCCTATTTGGGAGACCAGCCACTTAGGAGATACCAAACTTACCGATTTTGCATGCTCGACACTAGAAAATGTTACTACTATAAGGTTTACTGCTAAGGACTTGTGGGGAACATATATACCCTAGTGCTTACTTGGTTTCATATTACTGAAATCAATCATTCAAGCTTTTGTTTTACAAAACGCCCCTTTTTACGGAAATAACCGGATTAAGAGTATGACTAACAATAGATTAGGCGAAGTTTAGACCTCATTCCTCGTGCGATCGACCCTAACCTCTGTTAGGTTCTTTATTTGAACAATGACCGCTTATATTTTTTTAGGGAGGTGTAATTTGAACGTATCACCCTACATTATTGGATCAGGATGAAATTTAGTAATAAATTAAGCAAAGGCCATAGAGGAAAAAACCATCGGGAAATAAAGTCTTAAAGAATAAGATTTTTATTATTTATTTTTACACATTAAATTCTTTATTTTATTTTTAGATTTAAATATTCATACTTAGATATTTTGGAATGAGCTAATATTAAGAATTTGAATTAAAAAAATTATCTTTTAAAATAAATAGAAGAATCAACGAATTAGTAAGAAAATTAAATTAAAATTGAATTAAATTTGGATTTAGAGTGTTTTTAGACCAAAAGATTTTAATTTAGATAGTCCTTTGTGGCTCCGGTGGCGACTAGATCAACGCGTTATTGCTTCAAGAGAAACTCCCATCGAAGTTCACTATGAATCTTTAGGTACTTTTTATGAGATTTATGGACACTATCTAATAGTAAGAAGTCTAAAAAAAATAATTCTTTTTATATACATTCGAACCACTGTTGGTCATATTCCTCTTTATCGAGAAATCGAAGAAGCTATACAGGGGTTTTCTCGGGCGGAGGGGTATCTTGAATGACAAATAAAGGTTTAAAGGTATTTTTACACCAAAAAGTAGAAGAATGATATTTTTGATATATTTCCAATAAGCATCTCTTATATTTATACAAATACAGATATCGATTCCCGCTACAGATGACACTTCCAACCGGAACCAGGGACAAATGAACCGATTATTTTCACAGATCTGCAACAATAAAAAAGCCGATTTGAGATCGTTTATCCAGGAAAGGCAACATCTATCGCAAACCTTCAACTCGTGATTGAACAGGTTAGGGATATTCTTAGCTCTTTTCCCTAGAAATTTTGAATACTACACTTCACGCCAATGAGTGATCAAACTTGTCACTTTATTGGTGTGAGAAAATGTATAAATGGTCCCTGAACTATTGGAGTAGGTTTGAAATAGTCCTTTCACTATATATTTATCGAATTTGTCGTTTAACTATCCAAAACAATATCAAGTTTGGTCCCTTAACTATTCACTTATCGGTTTAATTTTCAAGTATAAAAAAACTTATCAAGTTTCATATTTGTCTATTTTTTTCATATACAAATAACTTAAGTTTATACTAAAGAAACTCGTGCAATCGTGAAATTAAATATTTAACCCATTTTTCTAGTTGTTTCTCTTTCTGCCCCACTACTTCTTCTTCAAATTACTCTAATGAAAAGAACCTAACTTTAACAATTCAAAATAAAATTAATGAGGAAATAATATACGAGTCCTGATTTTATTCAATGAAAGATAAAATGAAGCATATTATTATTGCTAATAACTTGAATATACTATATTCTCTTCTCTAGAGGTTAATGGTTCACAATCAATGTGAGTTTTTTAATTTTACTTTTTCACAAAAAAATAAAAGATTCGATCTCATTACTCAAATTTCTCTAGGTAAAATAAAATAAATAGAATAATAAAATCAACCTATTCCAAAATTAAAAAAAAGTTGCAAATCTACCATTTTATAAATTTCAACTTCTAAAAAATTAAACAAATTTCTTTTAATAAAGTCATTGGAGTAAAAAATTTGGAATCAAAATATGCGAGTAAAGAACTTTTAGTTTTATTCTCATTGCAAGAAATTCATTTCTATTAAATATAAATAAATCTCTCCCCGCACCTAATGAGTAATAACAATAATTTTTTCTTTTTATAATAAACTTTAGCATTTTCAACTCATTAGCAACAATTATATACTTAATTTTCTTCTATATTGAATAAAATCATGACTTATATCTTCTTTCTTCGTGAATTTTATTTTGAATCATTGAGGTTAAAGTTCTTTCAATAATAGTAATTTGAAGAAAAGTTGTCGGGGAGAGAAAAACAATTGAAAAAATGATTTAAAAAATTAATTTCAAGGCATGAGTTCTATTAATATAAATCTAAGTTTTTTATATATATATACATATATATATATATAAAATAAACAAAGACTAAACCTAATAAATTTTTAAATAGTTAAAGAACTAAAATGAGTAAGAGACTAAAAATGATTAGTGTGTATTTATTTTATATATATAATAATTAATAGACCAAACTTGATAAGTAATATTTTGAATAGCTAAATAATTATAATTAAATTTGATAAATGTATAATTATATGTGACTGTTTTAAACATAGTCGAATAATTGAGCACCATTTATTGCATTTTGCATAGCTATTTATATGAGAAAAAATTGCAAGCCGGCAGTGAAACCTTCCGCCGCCGCTGCTGTAGCAATGGCAACCAGGTATGAGCACTGCCGAAATCTCTATATGTATGATGATGAAGATGGAATTAACGTTTATATTACTGTATGGTTTCTAGTAGGAAATTGAGAGCATTCAAGAATTGGATGAAGTCGCAACATGTAGAGTGTAGCGACGCGCTGGACGTGGTAGTGACGACGAACTCTTCGGCGGTATCCGTAAGAGCCTTGTGCGATCTCAATGTTGGCGATTTAGTGGCGACTATTCCCAAGGAGAGTTGCTTGACGGTAAAGACTTCAGGTGCGCGGCAAATGATAGAGGAATCGGAGCTTGAAGGCATCTTAGCTCTAGCAGTTGTCATCATGTATGAGCGAAGCCTTGGTCCGCTATCTCCTTGGTTTGGTTATCTCCAGTTGATCCCTTATTCTGAACCTATCCCTTTGTTGTGGTCCCTATCTCAAATCGACTCTCTTCTCGCCGGAACTGAGCTTCACAAGGTCTCCAAATATATCTTTCTATTCATTCTTAATATAATATCTGTACACAAGTATAAGTTACCCTAACTAAGGTCCAAAGTTTTTTTGCTTTTCTTCGCCTGTCTATGATGCTACTATAAAGAATCTCCAAGCTTCTCTGCTTGATTCTACAGTAATCTTTTTAGGTTTAACGTAGATGGCTTTGCACATAAACTCTTTAACTCTGGTGCAAATTGGAACGTCCTGGAAAAATGTTTAAATTTCTTTGATGAGTATGTTCTTAAAATTTTCTGCACAGATTGTTTAGTGGCATCTTCTTGAATAGTTGAGTACGTTCACTTGCAACTTGAATAAACTGGAATGAGTTGGCATGTATCTTGATTACAACTACGAGTGAGTTGACTTTGAATAGGATTAAAACTTGGAGTGAGTTGTCTTACAACTTCCTTGCTGCTCAGAGGAGCTGTCTTGTAATCTGATTATGACTTGGACTGAGTTAGCCTCTTGGTGTTGGTGAAAGAGAATCAACTGTAAAATAGCAGTCTCTTGTTCAATATTTAGCCATGGATGGAATGACAATCATAGACCATAAGTGTGAGTGGAAGTTAGAGAGAGATCTTTTCAAGTATGAGGACTTGAAAGGATTTTTAGGAAATATTAAAGTTCTTTTATCTTATTTGCTGTCCAGTTTGAATTGTCAGCCTAAAAATTGGTAGCAGAGCTTGACACATTGTATCCATAATAGCAATAATTACGCCACAATCCCAAACAAGTTGGGTTGGCTATATGAATCCTCATTTCTTCATTTAAGCTCATATTATATCATACTCATAATGAATAAAATAAAACTGGAAAATACGTTAAAACTATATATAAATAATAGTGATAATAATAACAACAGAAGTTCTATACGAGTTTAAAAGCTAAGCTCAACTAGTACCTATCACCTATATGAATTTTTTTGCCCATTGGGCCCTATCTTTATCTAAGTCTGTATTACACACTGTATCCATACTATTGAATTTTTCATGGTTATCGGTGTCTTTAGAGTTTAGATTGTGTTTTCTGATCACTTTGAGACAGAGGCAATAAATTATAATGTGATTGTGAGAATGTGAATCCTGTATACTCTAACCATTTGTAGATTTGTAAATGGATGGAATGCGAGTTCCTTTTTTTCACCCATCTATGATATGATATGAGCTGAAATGCCGAAATGAGGATTCATATACCCGACCTAAACTTATTTTGGGACTCTGTGGAGTTGCAATGAATGGACGATGAATTCCTTTGTATTGTAAAGCCTATGTAGTGTTGTAATGGATAGAGTGATGATTTCTTTTGCAACTCTAGCATTTTTAAGGCTATGTTAGATGGAAGAGAGTCCTCTTGAGCCATATATGGGTCAAAAGGATGAAAGGTGATTTCTGTGATGGAGTAGGCGAATTCCCTGTAATATGTGGTTCTGAAATAGATTGAAGGTGAGTTCCCTTTTAGACCTAACTATCTGCAGGGTTGTAAAACAATGAAAGGTGTATTCTCATGTATAAAGCCATTTGTGGGGTTGCAATGGATGGGAAGTGCAAGACCCTTTTACACCTACTCCAAATATTAACTTTTTTGGCCAAATCGATATGTTTGATCAGAGTAGTATGCAAAGAACAAGCTACTATTCCAATTTCCACATGAACGAATATGCCAAATCGTCCAAAGTAGCATCAAATTCAAGCTTCTGTGTGACAACTCCTTACCGTATGTTTGAGGAAGTGGAGTCAGCCTCTCTATATTACTGAATCCCTAGTAAGCAATGCACAACAAATCTGAGAGTCAAGTATTGCAAGATGCTTAGAAAAATGTAATTTGGAGTATAGAGGCATTGGAGCATGTGTAAGCACAACTTGGAGGAAGTATGAAAGGATAGTGCATATTAAGGCACAAGTGCTAAGAGCTTATAAAATTCTTTGATGGAAAAGTTGTAGTAAAAGAACTTCAAGTAAGAGCTGATTGAGGTGGAACAAGTCTATTGTGTTAGAAATTCCAGCCAATCCTCTCTGTATTACTGAATCCCTAGTAAGCAGTGCTAACAAGCCTATTTTTTGTTTATTTTTTTCTTTTGAGTAAGTAGGCTAGCAACTTGATTACAACTTGGAGTAAGTTGGTTTGCAACTTGTCTACATTTTTGAGTGAGAGATTACAATTTTGAATTCGCTAGCAACTTGATTGCATCTTGTATTGCGATGTCTTGCTGCTTGATATAACTTGTATTGAGTTGACTTGTATTTTTTGAGTACAACTCAGAGTGAGTTGGCCACTTAGGTTTGGTGAGGGAATCAACTTTATAAATTGCCATCTCTTATTCATTGTTTAGTCGTGGAAGGAACTGAAAATGTAAAAAAATGGAACTGAGAGGTTGAGAGAGTTTTGTCAATGTAAGAGCATTGAGAGAATTGTAAACTATATGTGGCAGAATTGTGAGAAAATAGTATAGAATGAATTTATGGGATACTCTTGATCTTGGATTTATTTTCTGGATAACGTAGAGTGGGATCTCTAATTTGTATTCTTTTTCAATATGTTTAATACTTCTGTTGTAGGAAAATTCTTCCTTTATGCCGATTGATGTAGGTCTAACCATGTTATTGTCGGTGTCAATGTATTCTTTCATAAGTGTTATCATAATTTGTTTTCATGTCCCAGTACGGCTGATCCTTTTTGTGGTGTAGCTGGACTTATTCTAGAAGGATATTATAAGTTGTTTAATAGTTCAACTTCTTTTGTTTTTTTAATGTGGATGAATCTGCAGCTCAATAATCTGTGTGCGGAATCCTGATACTTCTATTGAAAATATTATGTTGGAACTTTCTAGAGTAATTGTTCAGTTCTTCAGTAAAGCTTATTGAAATTCATCCAAATAATGCCAGAAGAGTGAAGAACTTGTGCTCTGTTCGGCTTTCAAATGAAACAAAAAGGAGAAGCCGTGCATATGAAGTTGTCCCTTTGGCATTCGTCAAATGGTTGCATATAAACAAATAGGATAGCTTCTGTCAGAAAGGGTTGAAATTCTTATGCAAATGTAGTTGGTTAACGTTTTTTGTTTTTGGTTAACGATTTGGGCACCCATGGAAGTCCGGTGATTATTGATGAGTGGGTGCCTTTTTAGGATAATGTCATTTTTGCCTAGATCTCTCTACTTCATGTCATTTGCTTGTATATGAAGCTTTCTCCGACACAGCAATAAAATCATTACGTTATCATCTGAAGAAAAAGATTGCTGATGTCGCTGCCTGCCTGTGTTGCTACTTCTGTTTGGTGAACTTCAAACTAAAAGAGAATGAGATCTCTTCTACGAAAGAATGTATTTGCTGCTTTGCAAACTTTTGATTTTCTGACAAGCTATTTGAAGTTGGGTAATCGTGCATATTAGACTTTATTCTGTTCTTATTCTATTGTATGACCATTATGATGTATTTGTAGGCAGATAGTTAAAGACGACAAGGCACTTATCTACGAGGACTGGAAAGAGTGTATTGAGCCTCTCTTAACTTCAGTTTCTTTACAGCTTAAAGCAGAACATTTTGGTGTTAAGGAGTATCTTGCTGCAAAAAGTCTAATTGCGTCGCGGTCTTTTGAAATAGATGATTACCATGGATGCGGAATGGTTCCCTTGGCAGATCTGTGAGTATACCTTTTAGTGGAATCTTCTGCATCAATTCTTACTTCTTCATCTCCCTCTTACTTACTGAACTTCCCATATTGGTTTGAGCTGTCTCACTATTTCCTATTCAATTTGTAGTTGCTGACTTATTTTACCTCTGCTGTGAGGGGTTCATTCGCTCCTTGTTATGTCATGATGTTACACGTCATAAATTTCATCAGTGTTGTTTCATGATTATTGTGAAATGTATGCCTCGTGTATGCATGTGAGCAGTGTCCTGGTTTTAAATTTTTTTAGTAGCCTAACCACATTGCTTGAAAAGTCAAAATCTATTCTTCTCTCACCTTATTTAAGTCCTCTTCGTGTATCCATTTTATTTCCTAGCCATACTTTGTTTAACTTCATAGTTTTGCAATTACCGAGTTTCATTGCATTTTTATTTTTATTTTAACGACTTGTTGTCTCGTTTGTCTTATTCCAAATCTAATAGGTATATGTGTTGCTTGAACTACTGAACTGGTGGAAATATTAAGTGGACTACCACAGTGTTATTAAAAGCGAAAAGCGTAAAAAAGCTCTAAGGTCAGTGGGGGCTTTAAGCGCAAAGCGCAAATAAAGCGTGGGCTTTAATGAATAACTTTGGGATGCTTATGATATGGTTTGTAGTTTCTATTTTCAAGACTATATTGTAAAAAAGGCTATGACCCTAAGATTGTATTCAATTGTATTAGATGGTGATTGAGACAAGGTCTAGACTCTTATACTTCTTTTATGAAAGAGACTTCTATTGTAAAAGTTTTAAACTCCGCATTATTTCTATTACATATGTTTATGATTATGCTAAGGGCTTGTATGAGACCCCTTCGGGGTCGAGTACGCCGTGTTGCATCTAGGAGGGTAACCCTGGGTCATGACAGTATGAATTTTTAGCATCTCATTGTGACTACCCGGTTATCGAATGAGTCTCTCGTGATGAACATTTCACAGTAGCTAGAAAGTGTGGAGTCTGGTTTGATATTGGTGCCAATGCCTTGTGTGATGAGCTTACTTTGAACATTGTGTGATGACACCCAGAATTTTCCCCGTTGGTGCGGTTGACTAAGTGATGCAAGCACTTGAAATGATCTTAGGCAACAATTTTGAAGAGTGAAATAATTTGACAATATACCTCTTTTGTGGACAACTTTGTGAGATGTGTGAACCTTGCTTGAACCCTCTTGAGCCTTATCCCTTTCTTGGAAGCAACTTGAACAATTATGAACCCTCTTTATCCATTAACACATAACTCTCATGAAATGTGGTTTGTGATAGCCAACTTTGGCCAAAAGCCTAAGTTTGGGGCGTGGTGAAAAGAGAAGGTAAATCAAGAAGTGTGAAAAATTCCCCTTTTGAGAAATAGTTTTGAAAATAATAAAGATGGAACTCCTCCATGTAAAAACAAAAAAAATATTAAAAAATAAAAAATCTAAAGAAAAAGAATGAAAAAGTAGTGAAAGTTACAAAAGAAATAGGTAATCGGTAATCCATTTGAAGTTGAATAATAGGGTGAATTATGAGCATGATCAAAATGTTGAAGAAAAGGAAGAAAGTGATGTTCAGACCACATTTCATGAGGGTAACAGTCACTAAGCCTAAATGACCTTACCTTTACACTCGGCCCCGTTAAAATCCTTGAAAAGACCTTTGTGATCTTGAGTGAGCTGAAACGAATGTTGATTGGAAAATAAGGGCAAACCTATGTGTGAAGTCATGCATGTGTTCATCTTTGTGAGTGTGAGAGTCGTATGTGATTTTGGAACTTTAAATTGTTGAAGAGCTTTGTCTGAATATGGAATCATCTTTGTTGTGAGGGCATTTGAGTACCTTTGTTGAGCTTGAACCTGCATTTGAAGCAAGTATTGTGAACTAGAGCATCTTTGATAATGGTGAGTCACAGCTTGAATCATTGAGTGCACAATTGATCATTGCATGAGTAAGTTGAATCTTATTGTGTGCATTCGTGTTGAGTCTTCTATAACACTATTTGAGACATCCTTTTTGAACTGTTGATCTTGAGTTTTACTTGAGGACAACGAAAAGCTTAAGTTGGGGATGTTGATGAGTCCAAGATTTTGACTCATTTAGGGCATTGTTTATATAGATTTAGTGTCCTCAAGTGCTTAATTTATGCCATAAATTGATGCTAAAGCCTTGATTCTTAGGTATATGGATTGAGGAACAAAGCAAGGACACTAACATGAAAAAAGGAACAAAACAAGCTGAAGGAATGAAGAAGGGCGAGCCTGAGGATCGCCAAGAGCACTTGGCGTGTCGTCGAGTGGCTAATCTGACCGCCTAAAGTTCCAGTGTGCCAAACCCTGAATGAAGAAACCAAGTCGGTGACGAAAATGACCAGTCGACGAATCGCCGAGCAGTTCCGTGGAGAAAAGATAGATCGCCCAAAGTTACTAAACTCGAGGATGCTGAATGCCAAGGCGAAAAGGCGATAGAAATGGTCAAAGGACAGCTCGCCGATTGGTTCGGCGATCCTGACTTACTTCGCCAAATGGCCATTCGTGGTTTATTTTTGGCGACTATAAATTAGATTTTGGAAATTTTATTTAGGAGAGAACTTGATGTTGGATAAGTTGGACAAGACTAAATTAGTTTAGAAGACTTTTCTATGTAGTTTTTCATAGTTTTGAAGAACCTTAGAAATTCAATTTGGAGAATTTGGAAGTGGGTTTTGAATATTCTGCAAATTGAGCATTGTAAAGACTAAATCTCTCTTACCGAGTTGATGACTAATCGATTTGGTAATCTTTTTTACTCTTTTATGATGTTTGGCTAAAACCCCAATTCTTGGGGTGTGATCATGTGATTATGGGTTGAATTAGTTTATGGGTATTGTTAATTATTAGTTTAAATGCTATTTTGAAAGTTGAGTTTAATTCATTAATTATGGTTAATTTATGAATTGTAGCTGCAAATGCAGTTCTAATTTTGTGTTTTTGGCTTGTTCGAGAGTAGAGGTTTTAGAACTAAGATTATTGATTAATGATTTGTAGGTATTGGGTTGAGCTGGGTTTAGCTCGCGAGAGTGAATCCTAAACCTAATCCTACCCATCTAGCTCGTAAGAGTGGATGAATTATGGTGTGGGCTGTTCTTCATTCTTATGCTTGTTGATGTTCGAAAGAAATCACCTGATTCGGGGTAGTTGTTCGAGAGAAAGCTATCTCCCTTATAGTCTAGCCTACTCACTAACTTTTAGCTATTTACTAGTAGTTTCAATTACCCATATATCATAATTTTCCTATAATCGATCACATCCCGAGAATCCTTCTCCCTATTGTTATTTTGAAGTTTGTGACGGCTTGTAGTTGATAATTAAAACCAAAATCCCCATCTGACATTCGTGTCACCCTTTTAATTTGATCTATGTCTTTTTCGACAATTTCTATTCCTATAGCTGATTAGACCACGTTTGCATTTCCTAATTGAATTTAAAACATGTACCTGTGGGATTCGACCCCAACTCAATTGTTGGGTTTTATACTGATTTTTGATTGTTGACACCTAGAATTGGAAGAGGTGTGCTTGAAACGTTAAATCAATAGGCTTTCTTTGATTTGTCTTGTAAATTTTAGCCTTTTAAGATATATATCACTAGTAGCCCCTTTGAGCTTGTAGCCTTTTATTGGTAGTCATATTTTTATCTCGACTCTTTTGTTGAATCCCTAGTTTTTGCACCCTGATTCCTTGAGCACCGTAGCATAGACTTACTATAATTGTTAAATCTGAAGAAAAAAGGATAGTTGAGTGAAAAAAGGTAATCAATGATAGCTACAAAGTGATTAAAAAGACCTCTTTGAAAGTATGTGACATGAAAAAAAAACAAAAAAAATATTCTTTAAAAAAAATGATTAAAGCATTCTTGAGATGATGAGAATTACTTGTGAAATAATTGTTGAAGAGAGGGCTGAAAATAAAGAGAAGAAAATAATGGGTGATAAAGTCTTAAAGTGCAAAGTGCTTATGGAAGTGTAAGTCATTATTATATAGTTTTCCTATCCGTCCCCTAGCCTACATTACCCGTTAAAGTGTTATTTGATTCTATTCAAACATGCTTAATTAGTGAAGATGTACATAATGGGAAAGCCTATGGTTCTTTGTGCATACATGCAAATTTTCTTTTGAGTGTGAGATGTTCTTGATGTGAAGTCCTTAATTTATATTCAATCTTTTGAATTGAGTGTGTGGACTATTTCGTTTTGTGATGACACTTGTTTCATGATAGATAAGTGATTTTATTATCTTTCTTTGATGAGAGTACGTGAGCAAGATTAAATTTGATGAGTTCAGAGTCTTTCCTTGAGGTTAGGAGGTTAGAGATATGTTGTTTATTGGTATGTTTTGCATAATGTTTGAGAAGTGTACTTGATGATTTGAAATTTGTCACATGGCAAAATTATTTGTATCAAGGATTTTTGAGATGAGCTTTAATGTTTGCTCGAGGATGAGCAGTTTTTAATCATTATTTACCTCATATTTAGTATTTATATTTGTCCTTTTTGAGCATGAATTTTATGTATTGTTCTAAATAGTATATTTTATTTGTAGGATTAAATTGGTGGAAAAATGAAGAAATTTGGAGCTAAATCGAATTAAATATGGAAGGTTGAAGAAGGAAATCAAGCAGACAACTTAATGGATTGAAGTGAATATATATATATATATATGCACACTGGTGGGTATACCAAAAGAAATGCGAGTAAGCAACGAGCTACTTTGTTCCTCAACAAAACCAATTTTGATTTCCAGAAAGATCCCTACGCTGAGGGCTGAACCTCGCCAAATGATCTTATGGATCACCCATCCCATCTTTTAGGTTCCATTTGGGCAATATGTATCTCGCTGGGTATGACTCGTAGTAAACCTCTGTAAGATATGGAGGATCCTAGGGTAGGTAACCCTTTCACCATTCTTTGTGAATGGTACCTTCCAGTAAGCAGGTCTCTTCAGGAACTACCAAAATAAAAGAGAGAATTCATTTTAGCCTCTGAGCGAGGATACTGCAACAAGAAGTGCCTAACCAGACCCTTGAGATAACAACCCATACCATAGGGTAGCCCTACAGAGCCAACATGAAAGACACACACACACACATATATATATATATTATATATATATATGCAAAGAATCAAAAGTTGAACTGAAATACTACATGACCACGTGTCAACATTTGAAGGCACTTCAAATTGAATGTGGCAGACGTAACACTTCAAATTTATGTTTGGGTTCCTAATTTTTTTTGAACTCAATTATTTTATTAGGGTTTCTTACATCTATAAATAGTCCATAAGAATGATTATCAAAGTAGGAGGACACAATGTAGAAAATAACTTTTGATATAGGGTTTTATCTTTTCTTTCTCTTTTATTTATTTTACATCTTTTCTTTGAATGATTCGTTGTAATTTCTCTATGTCTATATGGAGTTAAACTTCTCGTTCTTGGATTATATTTACTTACCAAAAGATTGTTTAGTGATTTTGATTCGACATAATTGTTTATCATATTGGTTGTTCTTATATTCTTGTGACTACTATTTTGATGCTTGACCACCATTAGGATAAATTTATTGTCTTCTTTTGAACTCGAGAGAGGAATAGAGGGATAGAATGTGGAATATAAGGAGCATGATCTTTTTTATAACATCACTTGAATTGATTTGTGTCTAGGATAGGGATATACCTAGGTGCCTTGCTTGGCTCAAATACGGGAAACAACGTAATGCTCCATAGTTATTTC